TCGGCGGCGGGCGAAGCCGCCCTTGCCATGACCGCGGAGGAGAAGAGGAGCCTGCAGTGCTACAGGCGGCACGTCGAGAGGAGACTGAACCCCGTCTACATCCTGAGCGACGTGACGCACTGGCTGTCCGACGGTGCGGGGCCGGCAGCGGCGTGCTGCCCCCGGCGCTGCCCTGCGCCCGCATCCTTCCCGCTGCCGGCGTGGGCGGGGAGCTGTCGTCTCCCTGCCGCCACTTCTGGTCCCCTCCCTCACTCTTTGCCTGCTTCGGGGTTTTGCTAGACGTGAAGGAGAGAGCCCGGTGGAGGAGGAGAAGGGGGTGACGGCGGCCGCCGCCCTGGTTCTGGATGCCATCCTGCAGCTGGAGGCGGAGGGCTGGCTCCGGGGCTTCCTGGACGCCCTGGTTGCAGCAGGTCGGTTCCCACTCGCAAGCGGGCTCCTCCGCTCCTCCCTTTCTCTGCCGGAACCACAGCCGTCGCCCGCGTTCAGCTGGGCAGACCAGCCCAGCGCACCCGGGATGTGAAGCATCGCTCCGTTATCCTTGGGCTTCTGCTGCCGGGTCTTGTCACATCAGATGAGATGCGGTAGGAAAAAGTAGGTTGACGGAGGCTGGAAATAAAACTTCGAAGGCACGGGGAAACGCCCGTCTGAGAAGCAGCTGGAACAATTTCGATTATGGAGAAAGCCAATGAAAGATGAAGGGATGCAGAATAAAGCCTCATTGAGAGGAGACTTGTCTGTCTCGGAGCGTTTAGAGAAGAAATAAGAAATTGTTCTCACCAAATATAATTGAAGGAAGCTAAATCCTCTGAAAGAGAAAGCTAAATGGGTTTCAGGATGTGCGTGGGGGTTAACTGGTAGCGTGGGATAGCTTCATTCAAGGACAGAGTCTTAAATTAGAAACTAATTTTTAAAAATTATTCAGAGGTCTTGAAAGTCTTATGTTTTGAGAAGTAAGTAACCATTAATAGTTTATAAATGTGATGATTGTTCCTCAGTAGCTATGACTGCTTGATGTGTGAGGTTCTATTGCAATTTCCTATCCAAAATGTGACAGAATTACCAGGATTTGCCAGCTTTCCTCTATACATGTAGGTTCTGTCATAGATTCTTGGTGATTTGTAGATATCTCAAACCCCAAAATCTCATGCCATAAGCCACTTTTGTTTCCATGCCAGAGCAACTTTTTACCAGCCTGTGATAGTCCTAATTTCTGAATTGCAAAAATATCTTCTTTGAACATGTTGACAGTGTTCAGTTTGGTTCATCTTCAGCAGGAAACAGAAAAAGTTAACCTGCTGACTCCAAGTGCTATCCCAAGTACTTATTAATTGGGCCCGAGATTAGAATATAGCATTACTCTTGTATTTGGCAGATGCAGAGATAGGTGATAATTAGATTAAAGACATTGTGGTGGTAAGCATCCACACTTCTCTCCTGCTCCTCCAAAAGAAAATAAAACGTTAGGCAAATTCCTTCTGTTTGCCCACAGTTCCTCTGGGACCCTGACGTGCTTTCTTCCACCTCTGGAACCTACACAGCAAACCACACAAGTCCTCTAAATATGATTCCCTGCCACTGTCTGTCCAGGACAGTATTTTCAGCTGTTTGCTGACTGTCTAGGCTGCAGGTGTCTGGGTTGCTCTCAGTCAGGGACTGACTCAAATCCAGTATGACAAGGGTTTTTGAAGGAGGGTGGAGCCAAGGACAGGACTAAAATGTAAGGGGCTGGTAAATAAAACAAAAGGACACCAAAGGTGTTTGTGATTCTGAGCAGTGTCCTGTGCTCTGGGAAATCCTGTGGAAGAGTATCATGGACTGCAGGGATCCAAGGATTGTATGGATCAAAGGAAGGTTTTTATGGTTGCTTCGGTGATGTGAGTTGTGACATTGTGTAGCTCTTTTTCCTCTTTGCAAGTGTTACTGCTCTTTTAGCATAAGGTTTTTCACGTTACACATACAAGTGCTGTAAAGGAAACCAGTCAGTCTATAAAAATTGTTTGTGGTTCACCTAGATTTTAGTCAGTTACAGCTCAAAATAATTTTAATTTCTCCAGTGTGGCTGAGAAAGTGTTTTTTAGCTTGTTCCTACCTATTCCAGCTAGAGATTGAATTCATAGCAACCATTTGTCTCTTTTTCTGAAAGGTTACACTGGACTGGCAGAAGTAATTGAGAACTGGGACTTCAGCAAACTGAAAAACTGGAGTTGCACAGACAGCTGTTGAAGCGGATAGAAGCGTCAGGGCTAGAAATTGATCTGGTAGCACTCATGCCCTACATAAACACGTCCCTGATAGAAAGGGAGTGTGATGAGATCATGCAGGTAGTTAATGGTAAAATCCCTGTATTTGCCTAGTTTTGCTGCAGAGAAATGCTGGCTTGTGGGATGAATTGGTGCCCATCTGTCAGGCTGCTGAGTGAGGAGGATGGCCAGCCACGGTCCCCTGGGGAGAGACTTTACTTTCTTCTGCTTAGAGGAGGCTTTGCTGTGTGGCTGCAGCTTCCCACAGCAGCGCTGTCTGCGACACCTGCATGTCTCATTCTTCACCCCTCTGGCTCGGTGGATGAGGTGGTGTGCGAAAGGGTTGCAGGGCAGGGGAGCAGGATGGGGTGGCTTTGGCATTGGCAGTGCTCAGCTGTATGTCTTTGCGGAGTCCAGGCTCCCGTAAAGCGACCTCAGGGGCTCTGGAAGGTGCCACATTACAGTGAAATTGGTGCCTTGCTATGCCTTTGAACAGACCCCTTTCTGGAGCATTCACATGGCATTAATGCTCCTAAAAATACAGATGGAAGTAGGCAAAGTGGCATTTAGGTGTTGCCTAAATTGATTCCTGCTTGTCATGGGATTTGACATAGTCTATTACCTTAACTGTGGCAACCCCTAGAAACTTTGTGTGGCTCTTTGAGTTTTGTCAGCACCCAAAGGGGTGGTCACAGGGTAAGATGAAACTTCTGGTCTGAAGTCATTAGCTAAATGCTGTGTCACAGAAGTCAACAACATTTTCATGGCCTTTGGATGTGAAGTCCCTGTACTGTTACCCAGGTCTAGCTCAGTGTCGTTATCAATGACTGATAATAAGTGATGCTACCATCATTTGTGACTCGTTGTCCTGGTTACGGTTGGGATAGAGTTAATTTTTTTCCTAGTAGCTGGTACAGTGCTGTGTTTTGGATTAGGATGAGAACAATGTTGATAACACACCAATGTTTTAGTTGTTGCTAAGCAGTGCTTACACTAGTCAAGGACTTTTCAGCTTCCCACGCTCTACTGACTGAGAAGGCTGGAGGTGCACAAGAAGCTGGGAGGGGGCACAGCCAGGACAGCTGACCCAAACTGGCCAAAGGGACATTCCATACCATGTGACGTCATGCTCAGCATATAAAGCTGGGGGAAGAAGAAGGAAGGGGGGGACGTTTGGAGTGATGGCGTTTGTCTTCCCAAGCAACCGTTACGCGTGATGGAGCCCTGCTTTCCTGGAGATGGCTGAACACCTGCCTGCCGATGGGAAGGAGTGAATGGATTCCTTGTTTTGCTTTGCTTGTGTGCGCGGCTTTTGCTTTCCCTATTAAACTGTCTTTATCTCAACCCATGAGTTTTCTCACTTTTACCCTTCCGATTCTCTCCCCCATCCCACCGGGGGGCGGGGGGAGTGAGCGAGCGGCTGCGTGGTGCTTAGTTGCCGACTGAGGTTAAACCACAACAGCTGCGCTCAGAGTTATTTCTAGGGATGCCCTGGCCACCTTCTCTGGTCAGCCTTTTGTCCTTTTTATACCTCTGGGTACCCCTATTTCCATTGTTTACCAGGTGTCCTTTATTTCCTATTGAAAAGCATTTAAGGTAATTTTACAGAGGAGGTTCTGTGGAACATGAACACCACCAGAAAGAGGATATGGCTGCCTAAGAAAGGAAACATTTGTCTGTAGGGTTCCAGCCTCAGGAGCTGCAGTGGTGTGAAGGTTTGCAGAGGGGGAGATGCATGGCTGTGAGAAGAGAGAACGCGTCTCATGGTCATGAGGCCTAATTCTGCAGCCCTGCAGAAATCAATTCTGCTTTTGCAGGGTTCCTAAGTGGTATCCAGTAAGTGGCTCTTATCAACAAATTTGAGAGCTATAGGGGGTACAAAGCAGTGACCCATGGATGGCTATGCTCAAGATCAGCCTTGGTCTATCCAGCTCTGAATTAAAGGATTTTGTCTGTGCTTAGACTGGCTTTTGCAAACTGACTGGGGTGCCTTAAGCCTGTTTACCTCAGTTCTATACTTTCGAGATTTTTTTCCCCCCACTTTCCAGATATTGGAGAGTGAACTATATTCTGGGGCAGGAAGGGAGAATTAAAAAAACCCACCAAAACAAAAAAGCCACCCAACCGAAACCAAACCAACCCAAAATGCTTGCATCTATTTGAAGAAAAAATAGAGTGGGAATTTCAAACTGCACACTAAATTAAGCAAACACTTCTGAAGCTTATTTCTGCATCACAGTTCCTCTTGCATGAATGCCATTGGCTTCCCTTCCATGGACCTTCTGATTACTGAAGTTTGTGAAGCACTCAGACAGAGTATGTGTGTGACAAACAGGTTCTGACTAATTCTGCCTCAAGAACAGGCCCTTGGATAATATGCCTTTAAGTACCATGGACTGTTTAGCAAATGAATACTTAACTATTGAGTAGCTGGTAATTCAAAGAGAAATGCACGTGCAGTGTCTTGAATACTGTAGGCTTCTTATAGGATAAGTGTGCTTTATTTTTATTGCTAAAGACTCTGCAGGTATGTGTATGTACACAGATCCTCAGTTGAATTATACTGGGTTAATTTTAGCCTAACATCTGGGTATACATTAAACACAGGGAGTGAAGAAGACAGACCCAGACTCTTCTCAGATGGTTCCCAGAGGCAGGACAAGAGGCAGTGGACACAAACAGAAGTACTTAAACAACAGGAAGAACTTCTTTGCTGTAAGGGTGGTCAAACACTGGAACAGGTTGCCCAGAGAAGGGAGTCTCCATCCTTGGAAGTACTCAAAATCCATTTGGACATGATCCTGAGCGACCGGCTCTAGGTCACCCTGATTTGAGCAGAGGGTTGGACTAAAAGTCTCCACAGGTGCCTTCCACCGTCAGTGATTCTGTGATTGTATCATACAGTGTTCTTCTGCATAAGCTTTTTAGACCTAACATTCATGGAAAATGTTATCTTCTAGCTAACTGTTCTGGTTACTTGTTAGTCAAGATGAACAAATGTTTGTTTCTTCCTTCTTTACTAGATACTATCTTTCAGATCAACAAGAATTATTTTGGAACACAGAAATATGAACACTGGATAGTTGCCACTCAGAAGAAATACAGACTGTTGCAACTGGCAGATAAGGAGGAGGAGAGCAGCATTTGTAGAGACCTTTTCATTTGCACTGAACACCTTTGGGTAAGTGCGTATCCTCTTTCCTTCCATGCAGAGGTGGAGCCATCCTGTTCCTTCTGATACAGGTATGTTCACCTAGGAGCAGGTTTTGAACCTAATCATTTTATCTGACACAGGCTAAAGGATAGCATGTAAGAGTTGTGTCTTAAGATACTCACTAAGAACGCTATAGTGCAGAGGAGACTTTGTAATGCTTGTGTTGTGGTGCAAATGGAAGAACAACACAAGTTTATAATACTGTCCTGGTTTCAGCAGGGATAGAGTTAGTTTCCTTCCTAGCAGCTGGTACAGTGCTGTGTTTTGGATTTAGGGTGAGAATAATGTTGATAACACACCGATGTTTTAGTTGTTGCTAAGCAGTGCTTACACTAGTCAAGGACTTTTCAGCTTCCCATGCTCTACTGACTGAGAAGGCTGGAGGTGCACAAGAAGCTGGGAGGGGGCACAGCCAGGACAGCTGACCCAAACTGGCCAGAGGGATATTCCATACCATGTGACGTCATGCTCAGTATATAAACTGGGGGAAAGCTGGCCGGGGAGTTGCCAACTGGGGTTAAACCACGACAAATACTTAATCTGGCTAAATAAAATCTGCGTTCATCCCCTGTCCCATGGAAAATGAGGCTTAAATGTGTATGTCTCTCTTTCTGAGCAGAAATTCAACGATGCCCTCATCATCATTGAAGATGCCCACATCGAAGATGCTTTAGCCTACCTAACTGATTTTTTCACAAATGTCAAAAATGGACCACATACAGAGTTAGAGAAGCAACTGACAGCCAAATTTCAAGGTATTTCACACAGTACCTGTGACAGTTACAGGGGAGAAGACGGCTTATTGTAGGATGATCCAAGTGTTTTCTTCAGAGTAAGTGCAATTGTTTTTCCAGAAACTTCACTTTCTAGATCTAGTGTCCACGTGGGTGCAAATATAGTGTTAGGGTAGGCAGGGGGGAACTTACTTTCTGGGACTTCAAGCTTCTAGTGCAGGAGTCTAGGCAGTAGTAGTAATTGTAGCTAGATGCTGTAGTAGGTTCTTACATGCCTGACTTGGAGATAAGGCAGTGGTGTCCTTAAGGGTGTGCCCCAGAAGTAGGCTGATGGTCTACAATCATGGATGCTGGTAGCATTAGATAAGGCAACATACACTGCTCAGTGCACTGCCTAGCCTCCTCCTGCCCAATGCTCCCTGACGAATCCCAAAATTTTGGGAAGAAGTAGGTGGCCCTTTTACCCTTCTGATTAAAAGTTAGAGGTTGCAGTGTTCTCTAATTTCTGATTTAGTAGCAGTGTGCTGTAAACCAGCCTGTGATCTGGTGTGTTGCAGTGTTGACTGCGATTTTAAATCGCTGGGCTGTCTGCCCTCTAGTGTCAGTTGTTTCCTCAGAAGAAATAGCACCACCCTTTGCAAGAACGGAGTTTGTTTTGTTGCTGTCTTTTGGTGCACAGTACGTCACAGAGATCCTCCTGTTAGTTTGCTCCAAAATGTGAGACACTCAGAAATTTTTTTTCTGGGGATTTTGTTGCATTTAACCAATAGCTTGCTTTGCTTGCATCTGGAAGAATGGTATAGAAAATAAAAATACATGCTAAAGAGAATGCGGGTGGCATTTGAAAGTAAGTTTGGGTGAGAATTCTGTTTTCTGCATTGAAGAAGGTAAATTATTCAAGACACCGCCGTTTTCTTTGAGAGAAAAAGCCAGAACTGACTGCCCTTTCAAAAGATGAGTCAAATGAGAATCCCAAGCTGGAAGAGCTTGCTTGCATCCTGGATGAAGCACTCCGTTATAACCTACAGACTCGCACTCTTCTCTTCGCTGAGACAAGAGCCTTAGTAGCTGTAAGATGTTTATTTTCAAAGCTCCTAAAATGGGAAGTGAGAAAATATAATGCCTCATCTATTACCCTTCCCATTTTGATCTGGAAATAGAAAAATATGCATGTATTTGATCTTCCTAAGAAAATATTTATCTTTCTATGTCTTCCTAAGCACTGGTGCTCTGAGACAGGATGAGGGGTTTTTTTCTTTTTCTAAAAACTACAGTACAGGGGTGGTGTCCTTCATCACTTCTTCTTGCTACATATCATAGTTGATCATTAAGCCATCAGATTTTTACTTTAGGTCTGAAGTCAGTTTTAACAAGATGTGTTACAAAGTTTTTGGCTTTAATGTGGCAGTGTCGTAAACCAGCAGCTCTGCTCTATTACTGATTGCACATCAGGAGGTATTTATACGTTTCCCGGAGGATTCCTATGGGCCCAAAGGAGGTCTGTGCCCTAGTATGTGTTCTTCATCAAGAAAAAGGAAAGACTTTGTGGAGCAGATGTTCTCTGGACCCTTCTGATGCACTGGTCTTTTTCACACTTGCCTAGGATCAAGGGTCTAGGCTGGATGACCTTTTTTCTCTCTTCCAATACCTTGTTCCCAGAAAAAGTTCATGCTTGAAGTAAGTGTGCTGCTAATCATTAGCTTCAGTAGCTCTTAAACATTTACTGCAAGGTATCATAGTCTCTGGCTTCTGTAAACAGATTTATCAGCTGAGAGTCCCAGCCCCCATTTTATCCTTGGATCCAGAAATGCTGGATGAATTGCAAATCAGAAAAAAGTTAAAGGCAGGCTAAAGTCCAAACTAACAACACCAAGCATCTGCTGGCAATTTTCCATTATAGATGCAAAAGCCTAGTGTAGCTTGGCTGAATTTTGTTCTTATGTAAGAGCAGTCTGAAGGTGCTACTTTCACTGTGCAGTGAGAAAGTGCAGTTTGTAAATAGCAACTCATTTCCTTTGGATCCCAGAGGTGTAGTATTCAGTGATCTGTTGGTCTGTAAAAGAAAAAGGCATACTTTTTAGCAGTGAAAGGCTTCTTGCTGTCTAGCCAGCCTTTAAGTTGCAGGGGTGGGAAAAGTGGAAATCAGTTGTGGCATGGTTGGATCTGGTATCATGACTGTGACTCTTGCTTTCTCACCTGTTAATAGATGTTCCCTCCTGACGCACAAGTTCCACCTTCTTTTCTGGTTTTGGTTCTCGGAAGTATTAATTGGCTAGGCAAGCATGGATAGGATCTACCTATCTATCCCAAACTAGCATTTCATCTGGACAGGGTTCTAATTCCCTGATTTGCTTTCCAGGCTTTGAAGAGGTGAATAGAAGCAAGCCCTCTACTTAGCTACGTAAAGCCAGATGTGTTGATGTGTCGTGGAAGAAGAGATCAAAAAACAGGTACGCAGGTTTGCACTGAGGAATACCAGTTGCTAGACCTATGGTGGCTACGCTGCTAAAATTGTTCTACTCTTCCCGTGTTCATCTTCTGTGCTCTGAAACAGAGGAAAGTCATGCAAGTTTGCACTATGCCTCCTTCCATATCTAGAAGACCTTTAACCAATCCTAAGGAGATGCTTGCTTTTTCTGTCCAGAATCTTTGCTTAAAGCAGCAGTAACACTGTCAGTGACACTTTGCTGCAGAATTCTTTTGCTAGTTCAAAAGAAGTTTAGAAACTGTTCGCTATCATCGCTTCTTGTGATTACTTCTAGTAGTATTTTCCCTGTTCCTTTTACAAATCCCTCTCTTATTTTGTATTTGGTGGCACAAAGACATTTTAAGGTAGAATGGAAGCTACAGCCAAAATGAATTATGAATGGCTTAAGAGTTAGCTTGGGCTTAAAATAACTAAGCTGTATGGGTCTCTCTAATAAAGATCAGCTAGGTGTTGCATCTGAAATGGTGTTTCCCAGGATGACAATTCTTGTGGCACATCAACAGGAATTTCTGTCCAGTGGGTATAGCATGCAGCCAGCTGGATATGCGAACTTAAAGTACTTTTCTAGATCAAAAGAACATGCTCATTTCTAATCACTTAAGTAAGAGCAAATGCAGGTAACCTGCTCAAGGAACTCTTCAGTGTTTTTTCCTGACACAGTTTCTTGGTACTGTAGGTATGACCCTCCCAATGCAGAAGGGTGTACTGGATGCATTCAAAACCGACAAAGACAGCAGACTGCTAATTGCTACATCTGTTGGTGACGAAGGCATTGATATTTCTGAGTGCAACCTTGTTGTGCTCTATGAATACTTCTGTAATGTCACCAAAACGATCCAAGTCAGAGGTATGGAATTTCAGAGCTATTACTTTAGAAACCTGTTTCGGCCTAGAAATGGACATAAAGTGCTAGTGAGTGGCACTTTGGAAATACTATAGTAATATGTGTATGTCTTGCTGTTGTTCCTGGGTGCCCCTGAGTGAAGTCAGATGAATGATGGCACCGGACGTGACAGATTTGTTCACAGAACTGAGTCCTTGATGTTGTGTGACTTTTCTTTTGCCATGCAAATTAGCCATGCTGCAGAAAGTTATTGAACTGTTGAGGACTGATCCCTCAAGTGGATATTTATAGATAGATGCAGAAGTATGGCTAGAAGAGCTGTAGTCACAAATAGGGCAAATCGTTCTGACTGTGACAATTTACAAAGGACTGCTGCAATGGAGTTTCATGTGTTGCCTTGGCTTCTGAAGACCTTCCCCTGCCCAGTGGCTTATTCCCAACCCAGCTACTCACAGGTACCCAAGGCCATTGCATGTGCAGACCTCTAACATCCGAGACAAAAAAAAAAAAAAAAAAAACTTTTTCTGTCTTGGCTTGTTTGGGTCTTGAATCTTGGTGATTTTTCAATATGGCCAGTAGATGGGAATGAAGAGCCACATTAAATACTGGCTTTTGTTTAACATTCCTAAATGTCATAAAACTGCCTACGTCTTTCAAGGGTGCATCTGCAGTATTTTATCATATCACCCAAGTAGTTAATTTCATAATTTGATGGGAAGTGATCTCCATTGTACTTAGTCCTCTACTTTCAGGGTTTGTGTCCTGTGATTTTCTTATTTTTGTCTTATAATGAAATAATTGGTCCAGAATTCACGTTTATGGGTGAAAGGATAGTGTTTGCTCTTAACAAATCATTAAAGATGTAAAGAAAATAGGTTGTGTCAGTTTTAAACCACATAAAATTATGATTTTGGGCGAATGAGGAGCTCAAAGTTGCACCAGGGGAGGTTTAGATTGGACGTGAGGAAAAATGTCTTTACTGAAAGAGTGGTGAAACATGGGAACAGGCTGCCCAGGGCAGTGGTTGAGTCCCCATCCCTGGACATATTTAAAAGACGTGTAGATGAGGCGCTTAGGGACATGGTTTATTGGGCATGGTGGTGTTGGGTTGACGGTTGGACTTGATGATCTTAGAGGTCTCTTCCAACCTTAATGATTCTATGATTCTATGATTCTATGAAAAGCAAATGCGAACATTTTTTCTAACTGGAATACTTCTAAACTGGTATGAGATCCCTGTAGTTCTTACTTCACCTGTGTCACAGCAGCAAAAACCAGGCAGGCAGTAGGCATAGACAGGTGGAGGGGATGGCACTTGCTCTTGTCTCTTTTCTTGCCAGCACTGTATTTCCAGTTCCCCAGGTTTTTTGTGATAGATTTTTTTTTTAAATAGACACCAATTAGCAGGGCAGAAAACTAGTAAGTAAGACTAAGATGAACTTTCCTCCTCTAGCTTTTGTTTCTACAAGAAGCAGCAAGATGCTGTACAATAACTGAAGTGTCAAGCATGCCAGAGCTTAACTGAGGCAGGCCACAGGAGTAGGCAATACAGCACTGGTTGGGGGATATCCATGAGGATACCTGGAAGGGGTGATCTCGTTCCGGCTTGTGATCAAAGAAGAAAGAGCTGAGAGAACGCTTTTTAGAAGCAGCATTATCTGAATCTGAACATGGGAAACAGAAGCAGCCACACAGAAAATCATTAATGGTCTTTTATGGCATAGCTGCCACTTCTGCACATCTTGTTAAGAGTGAGTAAAGAGGATAAATGCGTTGCTGTATAGGTCACGAAAGGGCAAGAGGCAGCAAGTGCATCCTTGTGACAAGCAAAACAGGAGTGGTTGAGAATGAGAAACACAACTGTTACGAGGAAGAAATTATGAATGAAGCTATTGAAAAGCTACAGAATTAGGATGAAGCAACACTTGCAAGAAAGGTTTGTACTTCTGTGGAATTTTCATACTCAAATCTACAGGCATAATCTGTATCAGCCTCCATCTACTAGGTCTCTATCTAGGACCAAGTGATAACCTGAGGAAAGTGCTCACTGTATTTGGTTTCAGACTAAGGCTGGATCAGCAAAGAAGGGATAGTGTGTACTGCTAGCTTGCAGAATGTCATCTGTACTGTAACTGTAAAAAACTTAGAAGTTGAGGTAGAATTTATATAAACTTCTCAGCTTAGACATAAAATATAAAGTATTCTGTCCACTGGAAGAAAAAGATTGCTGTGTCTGCTTGGGATAGTGGACAGGGAGATGGGAGATGCAAATGGTGGTGATAGTCCATCCATATTCATGTTCAGAAGCACTTTACCTTTGCTGCAGGCCAGTGCAAGTGCTTTTCAAAAGTTATTTGTTGTCATACCAAGTGATGTTGATTTCAGAGCAGTGGTTTCTGGGAGATTTCAAGAAACCATTGCCTGGGACACTGTCAGGATGATATTTGGGTTTGTACATGCTCTTCTGCTGGTGACTTCTTTTGTACTGCCTACAGTACTGTTCATCTTTGCTTCAAGCAATGTCTGGCAGATCAACAAGCCTAGTAGAACACCTCAGCACACCTTCAGTGCTTTATATTAACCCTGCTGCATGCTGCACACTTACCAGATCAGAAAACATCATGAGGGTAGAAAGAAGTGTCAAGAATTTCTGGTGCTGGAGGTGACATGCAAGAGGTGTGTCGGGCTAAGCCAATGATGGACTTTTGGTCAGGCAGGTTCCGGCCCAGCACAGCAGGCACGTCTGTTCTGTGACCACTCCACCTTCCCAGGTGCCCTTGCATAATAGGTACGAGGCTCTGCCAGTAGAACCAAACAATGACAAGGACGATAGTTCATCTAGCTTGGAGGTGTCACCAAGGTTAAGTCGGCCTACACTCTGTGTCAAAACTGCTTCCATAAAGAAAAAAAGACGGGTCATTGCCATAGGAGACTCCCTTCTAAAGAGAACAGAAGGCCCAGTATGCCGACCGGACTCACTTCCTAGGGAAGTCTGCTGCCTCCCTGGGGCCCAGGTTTAAGATGTGAAGAGAAAGCTTCCTACCTTGGTACGGCCCTCAGATTATTATCCATTATTGATTTCTCAGGTAGGCAGCGATGAAGTCGCACTAAGAAGTCCAAGGGCAATCAAGAGAGACTTCAGGGCTTTGGCATGACTGGTTAAGGGAGCAAGAGCACAAGTATTGTTCTCCTCTATCCTTCCAGTTGCAGGGAATGATGAGGGAAGAAACAGACAGAGCCGGCAGATCAACACCTGGCTCCACGCCTGGTGTCACTGGCAAAATTTTCAGGTTTTTGATCATGGGTCGGTCTACACGACACCAGGCCTGCTGGCGACAGACAAGGTACACCTGGCCCAAAGGGCGAAAAGGATCTTTGCGTAGGAGTTAGCAGGGCTCATTGAAAGAGCTTTAAACTAGATTTGAAGGGGGAAAGGCATAAAATCAGGCTCTCTAGAGATAAGCCTGGGGGCGACACGCCGATGTTTGAGGGATGGTGTGCTAGCGAGGTCCTTCGGTTTGCCATCTCAGCAGAGGTAGGGGATGGAAATCCATGTGACAGCAAAGACACAAGGGTTATTGATGTGTTAGAAACCACAGGAGTGCCTGAGAACAGTCACATAGGAATTAGGGCTTCTCCCCCCAAAAAGGTGGCGGGATCAATAGCCCAACTGAAGTGCATCTACACCAATGCACACAGCATGGGCAACAAACACAAGGAGTTGGAAGCCGTTGTGCAGCTGGAGAACTATGATAAAGTTGCAATCATGGAAACATGGTGGGATGACTCGCACAACTGGACTGCTGCAATGGATGGCTATAAACTCTTCAGAAGGGATAGGCAAGGAAGGAGAGGCGGTGGGGTAGCCCTGTATGTTAGGGACTGGTTTGACTGTCTAGAGCTTGATGATGGTGATGAAAGGGTCGAGTGTTTATGGTACGAATCAGGGGAAAGGCCAACAAAGTAGATATCATGGTGGGAGTCTGTTATAGACCACCCAACCTGGATGAAGAGATGTGAAATATTCTATAAGCAACTGGGAGAAGTCTCATGATCGCTAGCCCTTGTTCTCGTGGGGGACTTCAACTTACCAGATGTCTGCTGGAAATTCAATACAGCAGAGAGGAAACAGTCTAGGAGGTTCCTGGAGTGTGTGGAAGATAACTTCCTGACACAGCCAGTGAGTGCACGAACTAGGGTAGGCGCCCCACTGGACCTGTTGTTTGTGAACAGAGAAGGACTTGTGGGTAGCATGATGGTTGGAGGCTGTCTTGGGCACAGCAAACATGAAATGATAGAGTTTTTGATTCTCGGAGAAGGAGCGGGGTCAGCAGAACTGCTACCTTGGCCTTTCAGAGGGCAGACTTTGGCCTGTTTAGGAGGCGGTTGACAGAGTCCCTTGGGAGGCAGTCCTGAAGGGCAAAGGAGTCCAGGAAAGCTGGCACTCTTCAAGAAGGAAATCTTAAAGGCGCAGGAGCAGGCCATCCCCATGTGCTGAAAGACAAGCTGGC